TGGACTAGATGACCTTTAAAGGTCCCTTCCAACCCAAACTATTCTATGATTCTATGAATTTCCAAGATGAGAAGGAGACCTCTGACTCCGGTCACTTCAGAAATGGAGAGAATCAGAGTTATCAGGACTGTGGAGAAGGGGTCCCCACCTACCTTCCTGTTTCAGGGACTGAGCATCAATCAACAAGGGAGATGAGAAGGAGACCTCTGACTCCGGTCACTTCAGAAATGGAGAGAATCAGAGTTATCAGGACTGTGGAGAAGGGGTCCCCACCTACCTTCCTGTTTCAGGGACTGAGCATCAATCAACAAGGGCAGTTCTGGTGGTAGGAAGATAAGCTCCTACCACGACAGGGAATGGAAGCAGGAGAGTTCAGAGCAGCAAGCAGTCCTGTGGCACTGCATTTCCTTTCAAATGCCTGTGAGTATCCCTGTCCTCCTTAAATAAGGAATACAATCCTACAAGGAAGAAGACATGTAATTCTCTACAGCATTGTGGGAGCTGGTGGGCTAGACTCCACTCCTGGAAGCACCCATGGTAACAGAGATGAGAGGTTTTAGTGTTCAACCTTGGTCTCAGCTGTGTGACCACGTCTCAGATAGAGCAGCAGATGCTAACACAGGAGGCCAGGGGCTGTGTAAATGCATGGTAGTTGCTGGTCAAGAAGTTATCAGAAGTAAAGGACAACTGGAAGCCCAGTCTCCTGCTAGAATACTTCACAAAACAGTGTTTGCAAAGGTTGGTACCAGGAATCCTGGACAGCCCTGTCAGATGTTGTTAGAAAAGGACAATGAAAGCTTCAAGAGAAACGGCACGAGGAGGGGACAACAACCTGCTTCAACAAAACATTCCTGAAACATTTCTCTCTCTGTTTTCAGGTGTAAGGTGCAGAGAGGTTACACCTCTCAACAGAAGTGTAAGGGTTATCAGCCATCTCTCTGTTCAGGTGTATGCACATCTCAACAGAAGTGTAAGGGTTATCAGCCAGCCATAAAAGACATCCAGTACAGAAGGGCAGCAAACAGAACTTAATGGTTGCAGGTTAATATTCTTATGGTTTTCCTGAAGATTAAGTTAAAGGATGAGAATGACCAACAAAAAGTACAGTTCACAAAGACCAAACAAAACAGAGGTGCAATAAGACTACACTTAAATAAAACAAAACAAAACAGAGGACAAAGCACAGTTAGGAGGAAGCTCAGAGTACCCTTTAGTCCTATGTGGTTAAAAAGAACTAAATAAGGATCTACTCCGTTCTGTACTAATTATGAAAGGGGTTGGGACATGAATCCCTACAGCACCAAGGGAAGAAAGAAAATGTATGTGATTAACCAGTTATCAGGCACATTTATGAACAAAATTACATATCACTGACAACTGATTCTAGCACACCTACCACTGAAATTCATTACAACTTTAGAGGAAAATATTCTTAAAAGTAGGGAGTACTCTTTGGTAAACCAAGGGCTTTCCTCAGAAAAAGATGAAAAGAAACACCTAAAAATGACCTTTATTTCTGGCTAGTCCTGTAAGAGCTGTTGACAATTGCTTACACATGAAAATAAGGCTACACACCAGCTTACATACAGCATGAAGAAACTAATGGATGTTTAGGATGGCTTTGTTTTCTGTGCCCTAGCTGACAGCAATGACAAAGAAGGTAAGTCTCAAGTGTTCTAAGCTCACACGCACCATAACAGTGCAAATGTGTCTAGTAGGCTTACAGACACAGAACAAGCACTTAAGAAAGTGTTGGTGTTGAAATATTTTATATTCATGAAAATCCTAACCTCTTAAAATTATGCCTATGCGCAATATATATCCTGCCTCTTCACTGGAAGAAATAAGTCACTGTAAAAATGAATTGTTTTTCATATGTGCCTAACAGTCTGCAAGCAGCATTTCTGAAGTGTTACAATCTTTGCCAGGTGTGAGGTGGCTGGTGACCAGCAGCTCTTACATGTGACTTCCACCAAGGTGACTCTGTGAATTAAGAGATGCCAACTCCTGACCCTCGCTTGCCTTCTTATTCTGTGGTTATATGCATGCCTCAGCTGAACATTTCCAATCTGCAGGCTGCTAGGTTTCATGGGTGCTTAACTCTTGAAAAATGTATTCCAGCCACAAACACTAAAAGCTGCTCCCAGCAGCAAACTCCATAGTTGCAGTTATTTCTGTTTTGCTCCTAAAGCGCTGGTAGCAGTATCAGAGCAAGAAGCATTCTGCTTGCACAGCACATGTGCTCAACTGGGGATAATGCTCCTAGAGCATTATCTGTGGTTCTTCAAAGCTAGAAGTACCAGGGCAGGTCCCTCCATGCTACACCAATCTATAACACAGATCTTAAAAAGCCCAGCAACACAAATATGTAATGCTTTTATAGCAAAAACAAATGTTAATCATTCCAAAGAAGGCCTTGTGCATCTCATTTTATTGAAAAAGAAACACAGAGGTTATGAACCTAGCAGCAAAACCTAGATCTCCTGATCTCTCTCTCTCTTCCTGCAGTATATCTTGTGTACCTGACTTTTAGGTATTACTGGAGGAATTTTGATTTCTAAGAAGCTGGTAAGTATGGGTGAGACCACAATAAAAACATATTAAGGGGTGCTTATTTAAATAAGTACAAGGTGCGAACTTAAAACAAAATAGCCACTTATGATCAATCCCTTGCATGGTTTTCTCATCTTGGAATACTTACACCGTATTCAGGAATCAGCTTATTTACTATCTACACAGTGAGACAATCCCCAAGAAAACTAACACTTGCATTACATTTACAACATTAATAGACAAATTTTACATAATTCAAAGGAATGTGGGTTTTTTTTAAAGCCTGGGGTTGAAATGCAAAGCAGTATTTCTTGTGATTTCAGTGTTTTCATTGATGGGGCAGACACGCACAGTTAAAACAGCAATTATTCTTCCTGAGCTGAACTTGTGAACCACAGGAGCGGAAGTTACAAAGAGAAAACTACTGGCTCACCTGTAGATGATGTTGAGCATGCTGTGCTCACAGTCATTGGTGCTGTAAATGCTCAGTTTGTCCAACAGGTCCAGCAGATGTGTTGAGAAATTGCTATCAAACTTGTTGATTGTTGCTTCAAAGCCAGATGTCAGGTGGAGGTTGTCAGCATGCTCTGCTAAAAGCTATCAAGACAAAGGCATAGTGGCCCCATGTGTCTGCTGATTTGCACTTGCCAAAGAGATGCAATTATTCCTTCCCTACTTCCTAACCTGCTCAAAAATACTGCCATAAAACTTAACAGTTGCTCAGCCACTAAAATAAGTCTTTCAAAACAGTTGCAAGGTCCTTGGTAGTTAAAAACCTTGCTATGCCTATCTGGGAGAACCCCAGAGTAGATCCCAGTAGAGTTGTCCTCAAATATATGCTGTCGTTATTTATTTTCAAGCAGGACAAAAAGCCAGTAAGCAAAAAGTGACTGTTGCCTCTAAGACAAGTTGTAACCTCTGGAGCACTCTGATTGCCTTGCAGTGTGTGGGACCCTACCGGCTGTGTGCCAGAGAGGGGCTTTCAGTGGGACAGGAGGCAGCCTGCTAACCTCAGAGCACGCCAAACAAATCGCTTAGTACATGTGCATCTAGATAGAGAAATATGGACAAGACAAATATCCCAGATGTGAAAAGGATGGGCTGCAAAGAGTCACACCTGACAGTTTATTGGCTCATCCATCACAAAATGCTAGTTCTGGAAATAAGAAAGTTCTTGAGTTGCAGAAAGCCTGTATATGGGTACCCACTGCACAGCTGAAAATACAACTAAGAACTTAAAAACAAGTGCAGGGACTGCTGTGGGAGACAGGGTCTTCAAAGCAGACTTTGAGAACACCATCAGCGCTCCACACTGCCCTCAAAAATGCCCACAATTCCACAAAGATTCTGCTTTTGGGGCCAGAGGTGCTCTAGAAACTAGGAAGGCCTATCTGCAAGAGGTAGGACAGCCACCCTGACCAGACCGCAACCCAGGCAGCATTCACAGAGGAAAGGGCCCAGCTGTCCATCCCATGTCCCACCTTGTTAGTCAGCTTCTTCTTCGCAGTCTCTTCAGCACGCTCCTCCTCTGTTGGTGGGCCCAGCATTGTGCCATGCTCTAAGGTGAGCCGGTCCATCTCGTTATCCAGCTTCATGCTCTGGGTGAACCTCTTGGAAGGGCAGAGGGTTGGGGAAATGGTTAGATCCCATTTTTTCAATTATGGCAAAGCATGAGGCTGACTCAGTTCTGCTAGCCCTGCAGCTAGCTAACTTGCATGAAAGCTAACTCTGAGATTAAATTTACAATGTTAATATAAAAAGCTCCCTAAACCCAAAGGAAGGTTGGGGGTTTTTAAAGCTATGGGCTCCCCGAGATGCTGGCTAGAGTGTGCCCATGGAGATCAGTCTCCATGGGTCCAATCACTAGTCCTGGCCTGACCCTCAAAAGAGCATGCTAAAAACTACAGAGCCCTACAACTTACACCTCAAATTCTGCTGCAGGACTGGCTGAAGAGAGGTAATTTGTTCGTATGAACCTGATCCCAACACTGAAAAAGAAGAGCATAGAGAATTTTGTGGAGGGAGAAGCCACAGAAACTATTTGGGACAAAGGATGAGGGTCTGAGCAGTCAAGCTCTAAAGCCTGCTGGCGAGAGGAAGAGAGGCTCTTCCACGTGCATCGAGGACAAGAGGGGTTGAGTTGAAAAAAGGGACTGTCATAGCTAGCTGGAACCCAAAGCAGCTGGCAGTGGCATGGTCAATACAGTGAGGCTGTACATACCTGCATGCAGTTTGTGAACATGACACAGACAGACATCAGCTTGGAGAAGATCTTCAGCAGCTCTGGGTTGGTTAGCATGCAGTCCTTCAAGCAATTATCCAGGAAGCTTGTGTGGTGGCTCAGGACATCATCAATATTAGATGCCTGTGACAGGATAGTACAATAATGAAAAACCAAACCAGGACTGCTGTGCTGCACCAGACCAAAGCTCTAACCCAGCATTCTGCCTCTGACAGTGACCTCTCAGACATGCTCTAGGGCATGTTGAGATACTTCTCATGTACCTTCCAGCTTCGAGAAACATCCTGAAATGGAGACTGTATTTGCATTATTGCATTCAACAGCCCTTCACAGGCTTTTTACCTTTGACTTGTCACATCACCTTCTCAACCAAATTATGCTTTCTTTAATCATCCAAACCCTCCACTGGAAAGGAGGCTCAGGATGGAGTTATCTGTTTTATGAACATGCACCTCCTTTGCTTTCACATCTGCTTGTCATGCCTACTCCCACCTTCACAATCTCAGTAAAGTCAACTACAATAAGTGGAAAAGAGAAAAATAAATCAAAGAACTTTAAATGTCAGTAAGTTTACGAGACTTAAAACATACAGGTTATTCAGAAACATGCTTTAGGAGCACAATAAGGAACCGGGACATGCAGTGTTGCAAGGATTCTGTAAGATTTTTGTCCAGCTCTCCTACTTCAATGGGCTGTTTTCAGTCTCCAGTTTTAAATAGTAGATTAAAAACCCCCTCTCACTCTGTACAATTATGGGATGTGCTGAAGCTGAGAACACAAGTCAAGCTTAGGAAAGAACCATAGGACTAAAATTGACAAGGTATCCACAATGCTCCATCGGGATCAATGCCAAACCCCCCCCCAACCTTTTAAACTAGTACAGAACAGGGAAAAATGCTGCTCTCTAATGCAATGAAGATGCTAGTTGTGTTGATGAAGACGATGTTGTGAAGATGAAGATACTAGTTATATTTTTAGGAAGAAACCACCTTAACTTCAAGTGGAAATGCACAAGAGAGAAGTCTGGCAAATAAAAAACCAGCGTAAGGCACTACATGAGACCAGTGAGGATCATCCTTTTCCCCCCTAAAATGCAAATGAAAGGAAAAAACTACCCCAGTCTGTAGGCTATGGAGGTTAAAGCACCAGTTCTGCATCCATCCTGTTTGGAAATAAATGATGCTTTTATTTAAATCAAGGAAGATTTTACCCAGTAGTTGGGGATACGTCATCCCTGGTGAGCAGCTCTTTTAAAGGACTGCATAACAAAGTGGTTGCTGAAACAGCTTCTTTAGCTGGCAGTGTTGACATGTTCAACTCACAGGTGCCCATATCACAATGCCTAGAGCCAGACTTTTCCTGCCCCGGCACTGGTAGAGGGCATGCTCCATCTTCCAGAGATTTAAAAGCCTTGAAGGACACTGATGAGGATGGGAGGCAAACATACATTTGGATTATGTCTCAAAGACTTTGCTAACTTGCCAAAAAACTTTCAGTTTCAGGTGACGACTTGCGTACATATTCATATCACGGGCATCCTTGAGTCGTTACTACTGCACTATTACTTGGAGAAGCCCTTCATGTACAGAGCAACGGTAGAAATGCTCTACAAAATGCTGCAGCAGCCCACAAGGTTTCAGAAATGAAGAAGCGTATGGTGAAGGCACAGACAGATCTCCTTCTTGCCATACAGCCATGGAAACACTTTTCCCCAGTGCCAGCAAAGTCACTTTATACCTGCTATCTCAACATCTCTGGCAGGCTAAAGAGGCTCACAGATGTTCCACAGTGAGGGAAAAATTCTGCCCACTTGGGCTATCAAAAAGGTTTGGTCTATAGATGTTTCTTGGGAATGGGCTCCTCCGAGAAACAGTATAAATTGGCGAATTCCTTTTTGGAACCGAAATAAAAATGCTTCAACACTGCTATATCTCTGAAAAAGTGGAGAAACTCAATGGCTGAGAGCCAAAGCAGAGAGGGATCTCAAAAACTCTGGAGTCAGGAGATTGTCTCTTCTGAACAGGGGATGCCATCAACACAGACTGCGTGCCTACTGCGTTTAACAGTCCCTTCTAGAACATCTGGAATCAGCAGACACTGAAAGGAAGCACTACCTGAAATCAGTATGGAAGAACCCGGGACAGGATAAATTGTTCAAGTGCCTCAATTCAAGTAAAGTAAACTGAGTATTGTATTTTGCAAACCTAAACTTACAACAAAATTAAGAAGCAAGTACAATTCTCTTAGATCATCCAGGAGCTTGACATACAACCTCTTCTTCTTCAGAAGTCCTCACCAAGAATATGCAGAGATGCTCACAATCCTAGATCTGATACCTCCTGTGAATTCTCCAGGAAAAAGGATGACAGGGCATCAAAAAGTGTTGGTTAGCTGACCCCAGAACAACTGCCCAGTACACAGTAGAAACTAAGACAGGGTCAGTTGATGTTGAAGATACACAAGGCTCATCAGAGAGCTACCAAGAGAGCTGCTGTGGCTTAATGCAGATTGCAGAAGGAGTGTTGGGCTGTTTGATACATCAGATAAATGTTTTTCATGGTGTAAGAGGAAAAAGATGCGCAACCAAGAAGCATCTGATCACAGGATGACTACCAGAGGGAAGAATAATAAGGTGATGTACATCTGCCTCCTGTTCTCTCACAGTAGCTGGGGCACCAAGCTACTAACACCAGCCCCAACACAGCAGCACCACAGTGGGTAAGGAAGCTGAGAAGGACCATGAGGAATGTAGTGTCCCTTTGGATAAGGAAAATGACTACAGCCATCACAAAGGTTATGCTGCAAAATAAGCAAGCTTGAGGAATGGATCACTGATCATCCGCTCTAATTAAACACAAGTTCACTGCCTGGCACAACCCTTGCCTGTGCCAAGTGCCATACGCCAAGACAACCGTCATACAAAGCTCAGGGATTGCACTTCCTAAGGGCCTTCTCAAGTTGTCTCCTGGCATGGAGAAGATGGCAGCAGGTCAGATTCCCTCCCTTGGGAAAGCCCTCCAACACTACTCCACCAAGCTTTGTACCCTCAAGCACTTTCACAAGCCTCCACGTCACACCCCAGCCCATGCAACGCATCCCTGCAGCTTCATGCTATGAAAACAGCTACAATACAGCGCTCCCCACACTGCTGCAAAGACTTGAAACTCGAAGAACACAAAATGATTGTATGTTAGGACCACACAGGACCCAATGAGACATTTGCTAGGTAATGTAGAGCAGACAGCCTATGTCTCTGCCCTTGTTTTAGGCAGCAGTACAGAAGTAACTCGAGATGCCATCTCTCCTCTCTTTTTCCTCCCACAAAGACTTGTTTGTATGCCAGAAACCAGCAGAATCCAGGCAGGACCACTGGTGCTGAGAGGTGAGGCAACCAGTGCCCTGGCTCCAGCACATGTTCCTAGGGAACAAAGAAGCTATGGGCTGGGCCCAGGCTGATGGCAAGGAAGACAACATGTATTTACAGCATTGCTGTGGCTTTCACTAGATCTGCCAGTGCTCAGGCACCATCCTTCACTTGTCTAATGAACTTCCACAGTAACTGTAAGCCCCAAAAGTCTAGATCTTTACCACAGTCAGGTAAAAAAGGAAGGGAGAGAAGGGTTTGCTCTACACAGGCTGAGAATAACTCTTGATCTGTTGGTGACAGATTTTTTTCTCTGTTGTTGAGGATGGAACCAACAAATCTGACGTGAATGAAACCAGACATGAGAAGACCTTTATGGGCTTCCTGAACAGACTGTTCTGAAAGGTAAACTCCCAATGACTTCTCATTCTTGGTTTAAAACAGGCAGGTGGGACATTAGCTGCGAATGTGTTCCTCTGTGAGATAATAAAGGCATCTCACATGCCCTTAGGAGATAAAAACTGATTCTTGCAGTTTTTGCTAGGGCAGAGTTAACTTCTGGAGAAGTCACTGGCTTGGATTAGTGAACCAGAAATATTCTGTAACACACCTGGAAAATCCCACCGCTCACAACATTACATCAAGCATTGGAACAGGCTGCCCAGGGAAGTGGTTGAGTCACCGTCCCTGGAGGTATTTAAAAGATGTGTAGATGTGGTGCTTAGGGACATGGTTTAGTGGTGGACTTGGCAGTGCTACGTTAACAGTTGGACTTGACGATCTTGAAGGTCTTTTCCAACCTAAACGATTCTATGATTCTATGATACCACTGGAGTGGAAAAGTTCGCCAGCCTTGCCCACCTGCAGTGGGAATATACATGTGGAATAGTCACCTGTATAAGGAAGGCCCTGTTTTATAACAGATAGTCCTAACATGCCAGTCCTTGGCAGCTTCACGAAGAGAAAGCACAGACTTGGCTTTTAAGAGCACTGTAAGTCAGCCAAGGAATCAACTGAAGATTGATTATGATCTTTGCACCCTGCAACCTTCTTCCTTTTCCATAGTTTTCTTTCTTCTATGTAAGGCTATGTTCAGCAGAACACCACCTTTACATAACAGGGTGCAGAGTATGAGCTGGGCATAGATAGGAGGATGCTGCAGAGGAAAGGGATATATGATTAATAAAGCAGAAAGGTGATGTAGAACAGCGGCACTCTTTGCAGTATGATAAGAACAACAGTTCCCAGATACTTCAAGTGCCTCCAACAAAATGTTTAACAGTCACCTGCAGTAACTGAAATTAGGCATTTTTTCCCTATATTAAATTTGTTAACTTCAGACTTCCATTCCAACTTCTCTCAAGCACACACACTCACCAACTTCAGGTTCTTCTCAAGAATGTGCCATGTTGGCTCCATCACTTCAAACATCATGTAATACTGGATATTCTGTACAAAATTCAGCATCCGCTGCCGCAGTGTGAAAGCACCAGCAAACCTAGGGGAGAAATCACACCCACGCAACTTAGAGCTAGCAAATGCCATAGAGAATTATCACCAGGCTTGCACCTAGCACAAGCAGAGCTAAATATTTCTGTCCTAGCAAATTCACTGCTGCAGTGCGAGAGGGATTATAAAGTTAATGCAAACCACCTCTGATTATTTTCCATGTATTCATATGGCTTTCCCTCAATTACTAGAGTCAGAGTTTTGAACCTATCGTAGACTGGACAATTACTTTGAATATTTGCTTATAGACAACTAAAATTTTAATATTATATATTAAAGCAATTTTACTATCTAGTGAGACATGCATTTGTTAGCAGGGCAAAATATAACAAGATAAATGGTTCATGTTTCTTTCCAGCTTCACTTGTTAAATGAACACTTTGAAATATTCTATGCCTTGCATCAATATGTTCAGAGGATCCAAATATTTAATCAAATCACCTGCTACCTAGGGTACTTAATGCAATTTCACCTTAAAAATGAATGGTGGGATTATATAGAGGTTCTTTCAATGTTAATTTATCCAAGCTCTGTGATGGCAAACTAAGAACTGACTTCAGCAAACTGGGACAGGTCACCGGAGAGGTGGGGAATACCCACCCTAGGGGTTTTCAACCACGGCTGCCCTGTCCCCTGCTGATCACAGTCATCCTGTGAGCTGCAGGTTGGACTAGATACCCTCACAGGTCTCTCTGCTAATACCTCTACAATTACAGGAGAACCAGAGCTATGGTCATGTTGGCTGACGTCAGCGCCAAGGCACTCTGAGGTTACCTTGTGACAAGAAAGTGCCACTGGCAAGGCAGAAGGTACAACCTCACAATGCTGGGATCTGCCTCAGTCTCCAAACAGGCACCTCCAACACCTGGAGTGCAGATCCAAAGATGAAAATCTACCCTCACAGATGGAACAAGACAGAATGATTTCCTAGGAAAACACCCCACCAATTTTACCTTATTCAATTTGTATCACACCAAAACCCCAAACATTAGCCAAGCTGTGTGAAGGTCACGAGTCCTTGCTAGTGGTCTGGCCAGAAGAGAAGGATGTTGCTTTTAAACTACTGGGGCCCTTACTAATCTTGCTGACACTAAAGTAGTGACCATGACGATATGTGCACAGATGTCCTCTGCTGTAACTGTTCAGTGTAGAATGAGCTAACCCTAAAGACCATCTCTTCCTTTTCAAAACTTCATGCCAACAAAGAGGAACGAGCCAAGCAGCACAAAAATTACTGAGCAGACGCTTCCTACTGACACCTAAAATGTTATATTTTGACACCTCTCAGCCCATAAGAAATTTGTAATGATCTTTTTCAAGTCAAAATTATCTGTTCCGTGTCACGACATATCTAACTAGCAAGAAGGAAAACCAAACCTTCACATCCAATCTAGCAGAAAAAAAGGCCATACCACTTAGCTGAGTGCAGGGAGAATTGCTTGGCCGTCTTATTGCTGATCCAAACGTTGCACAACTGTCTTTCCACATGTTTGCAATAGAACATGTGTCTGAAAAGCATCTGGTATCTTGTCAGTGCTTTCCTGGAAAGAAAGGAGAAACCCATCCACATTAAGCCCTGTTCTGATTGACAGACTAAGCTGCGAAGGCTGAGGCTGCTCAAAGGCAAAGAGACTTTACACAATATGTTCCTTACGCCTTCAGATGCACACAAATCTGCACTGAAACAATTTGAACCAAAGAAAAAAAATCACATTTGTAACCATCCCAAAGAATTTCTCTCCAAGGAGTCCCTCCTCCATATTTCCTGCCAGCGGGTACATCACCAGCCTCCTTCTTCAATTCCCTCGAGCTACCTGCAGAAAGGTCACCCACAAAGATGCTGGGACGGAAGCCTGAAAGCCTGCAGTCATGTACCCACTGCACTAAGACTGCTACGATCACCAAAACGATTCGCCAGGATTCTCCAAAAAGATGAAGAAAAAGCTGTAACCAAGCTACAGGCAGCATTACCCCAACAGCAATGCACTGTCAGAAGCAGATGGGGATGCTTATTTATAGCTTCAGGGACTGGATTCAGGTCTGCATTCAGATACTTCAGTGTAGGTGTCTACAGAGCTCCAGTCGATACAGTTCGTGAAACCTTACCAAACAGTATTTTCACTTCCATAGCTACCATCAGAGCTAATACACTCAATTTGAAAGAAAGAGACATAATTTCAAAAGCATCATGTCATTAGAAAAGCCCCACTGTGTAAACTGATTTTTTAAAGGGGAAATTAAAGGACAAACCAATTGTTGGCATTTAACAATTCAACATCTGTCACCCTGTTCATGTAACACTGCTTCTCCCATTTGCCCTGGCTCACAGCAGCAGGTTTGCCAGTGTTTCTCCAGGGAAACAGGAGGCAAATCCTTGCAGAAAAATGAACCATTCAGTCCCTCATAACTCAATTAAATGCAAAATAGCTTGCTATAGCAATTCTAGCAACAGCCTGTATCCTTCTAGTTTGCAACTAGGGATACCAGAAAGGGCGTTTTTTTCTGCTCTCCACATTTGAGAAATGTTTGATTCTTGCATGGAAACCCTCTTGTGAGAGTTCATATTCTCAGGGGAGATTCTTCAGAAAGCCATAGACAAATGAAAACTGGGTGACCTGTCACAAGTAAAACCAGGGACCAGGCTGAGAAACCATCCTTTGACCTATGTCTTCCCACCATTTGAAATGAAAGTTTGACTTTCCAAGCGTGCCTTAGACACGGTCTAGTAGGGCTCTACTGAAGAGACAATCCATATTCCATAGTCTACAAGTGGAGCAAGCAGGGCTCAACAACCCCAAAGCATACCTTACTAGTCAGCAACTTAAAATGTCACTTTAAAGATACAGGCTTTCCAGTATTTTGCTGTGTGGAAACGTGCTTCAACCCCACGCAAAAGCTTCTGCCTTTTTTTCCTTCAGTGGATTGATACCTTACCTGTTTATAATAAGGGACAGAGGCCACTTAACAATGTAGTCAAAGGAAAATGCTTCCAGACCGCTCAGAGTGAGCTCTGTGGGATCTGCACTGATAATGGCCTTCTCCTGTTTTGTTTCTATGGCCAATACTCTCAAGAGCTGTGTAATGAGGTCATGGGGCATCAAGTCAATCTATAAAGGAAGAGCAGGAAAAAAATGAAGCCACAGGATACTCACAACTACTGCGTAGCAACAGACATGTGGCAGACATGCAAATTATCAGAGTAGCTCTCAAGTCATCAGACCAACCTAGGAAGCAATAGTGAATGGTATGATCTGGAATGGGGCAGCAGACACCGGAGCAGTGTCGCTGTAGTGTTTAACAATCAGCATACAACATGCTACTCTGCTGATTGCTCTCCCTTGCCCTTGGCCTCTGTAAGGTCTATTCAGATCTCACACTCCCCAGGCACAGCCTCTGTGCTGCTTCCTATCTGTAAAATACGCAATCATTAATAGGCAGGACTTCTAATCAGGTATTTTCTTGTACTCCAAAGTGAGCACCCAAGCTGAGAATAAGCATAAGAGACAGACTACTGCTTCCACCTCATCCTGAGGCCACCCAAAAGCACCTTCTCTGTTTTCAGAGACCAGCAAGAAAACTCAGCCTCTTGTCCAGGGTGGGTGCTTCCAGTTGCTAATCTGGATGAAAGAGGACTTAACCCAGAGAAGGTCTACAGAAGGACAGCCAATTATCTTTTCCTTCACTGTACATTCAGCAGGTTCTTACAGGCACACAGATCTTCCCAAATCATGGCAGGCCTTCTGCTCAAATTCAGTTGTCTTCTGCTTACCTACATTCTTACCTTTAAATCATCCTTGAAAGGATCTGTGTTGGCTGTGCTCATTCGCAGGGCTAATTCAAGCAGAGCCTCTAGCCTTGTAGTTATGATGTCATCTACAGGCTTCTTAAGTTCCTCTTCTGTGAGATCCATGAAGTGAACAAAAAAGTCCCCTTGATCCATCAGGAAATAGTGTTTTATAGATCTGCTCAATAAAATGAAGGGACAATTGATTATGTTTTTTAAAGCCCAAGTTAATCCATATTAAACCTAAAGGAACAAAAGCAATCAATTCAGCCAGCCTGCTGGCTTTGATCACAAAATGTTCCTCTTCATAGAGAACACACAGCCATAAATAACCAATTTGGAGACTAGTGTCTTATGCATGTCCCCTCCCCCCTACCACCTCAGTCAGATCAGGACTGCTGCTGTTCCTTTTTTTCCCTTGAAAAATGCACCTTAGGAAAAAAAAACAAACGTATGCACTACATTGCTGGGCGAAGGCTCACCCATACTGCTATCCTGAACAACACCCCAACCTCCACAGCGTGCAGATCCATCCAAGAGGCAGTTGCCAATTCAGAGCAGAATCTTGGACTCCTCTGAATGAACAAGTATCTGTGCTGATTTTTTAAGTACTCCAGGTACTTGTGTTGACTTCTGCTACAGTAGGATGCATAAACTTTAATTTTCACTTGGCACCAGGGAGAGTTAACTGCAGTGGGCCAGGAGCTTGGAAATAGCTCAGAGGACAGTTTGAGGATTAACTTAGTGTGGGGCCAAAGATCACACATGATAACTGCAGTTTTCAGAGCAAAAATAGGACCAGCACAGCCTTAACATAATGTGGTTGCAGACTCCTGATCACTGTCAATTTGGGATGATGCTCAGCCCCTCTGTTTCCATGACTGTCATTACTCTCTTGAACCAAGAAAACTCCCCCAGTCACAAGGAAGTCATGACAGTGTCAGTGGTCAACTGAGGACAAACAGGTAGGAGAGCAAGATACTTACTGCTGACACACCCTAGAGCGCAAACCCAAATAAAAACCTGACCTAATGCTGGCGACAATCCCACTTCAAGCAGGAGGTTGAGCTAGAGACGTGCCAAGGTTGTTGGTCCCTTCCAACCATGTCTGGGATGGTGGAGAGAGAGTCAGTACTCCCACTTAACTGAGGAGAAGTGGTTATCTGTCACAGGTCCCTGGGGTTTGATCACAACCATCCCACTTCAGCCCTCAAAGCATACACACACGCTGGAAGCTCAGTAGCTTCCTCCTCAACCAGCTGCCCCTGCACTTGCACCGCAGTAGATTACATATACACAGGACAGCTGCTGAATGGTCTAGCAGAGAGCCTGTTTCGAAGATGAGGAGGTCATAGACATCAACCCGCAGCTGGAGAGGCTGAGCAACACCTTAATCTAAAACTACATTGTGATAGACAGAGGACATGTGCCACCAGAGCTTTGGAAGCCAGTGTCTTTTGAACAGTCCTATTAAGCAAAGAAGGCTTGGAGGGATAACAGTCATTAGAAAGGCTAGGAATAATCTCCTTAATGACTGGCAGGTTTCAGATAGCTCTCATAACCTTTCATGAAAAAAGGCATGTTCTCTGGTGGTTTTCACAGGGCAGGAAGGAACGTATCAGTTTCAAAGGCGTGAACCACGGATCTTCAGGTCTTCCCCCAGCCTCTCTCAGCTGGAGCCGTAGTGTTCCCAGGTCTGGAGCAGACACCTGTGTCGCAACTACAACTTTTTCAGACCTAGCAAAAAGCAGGCCCAAAGCAATCCTACCTGGCCTGCTAGGCACATTCACTTCAGTTACCATTACTGCTCCAGCTTATGTCTCCAAATGGACATCTTCTTGTGCAAGTCACTTGGCACGTTTGTCCCATGAAGCTCAGACCATTTTCTTTCACATTGTGTCACTGGTTTGAAGCAGAACCTCTGGTACCAGGTCTCAGCCCAATTACAAACTATCTTACAACCAGCTATCAACTGCAATTTTCTACCTATTTGTTGCTGTCTTGGTCATCTGGATAGTTAAGATTCCTGTTTTTACTGTTTTCTGAAGATAGTAATAAACTAAAAGCTTGATTCACACAAGGAAGCTGGAGTTTGCATGCTAGAATGCACTTGCATTTGCTATCAGCTGAATGTGTTACGAGAATCAAAATATAGGTTATTAAAATGAACTTTAAAAAAGGACAGTAGTAAAAAAAACCCTGCACTGGAACTTGGGGCTAATACACTTACTCTGTTCCAACTACCCATGTTTGCATGAACAATAACCATGGCATATATTTGGTGAGATACTTAACACCAAACTATTTCTTATTCACATTAAACTCTTCTTGATCATACCAGATACTAGGAAACTCCTTTCCTGGGTGTGAGTGACATGCAGCCGAGGGACAAGTCATGAGAGAGGTGGGGGGGATGTCCATACCTGAGGGCGGGTTTTGGGACTGAGCTAGACAAGCCACGGCTGTCCTGACCTAGTTTTGGCAACAGCCTTCCAAGGAATTTGGACTAGAGACCCCCAGACATCCTTCCCGCTGAACATTTCTATGATTTTACACTTTTTTTTTCTTCAGGAAAAAAAAAAAATCTTATTTTTTCAGGTCAACTTTTCTAATGGAAATAGAGAGAATACATTAATAATATCTCAAGAAAAGAGAGCTAACTTCAAAAACTTATGTTCACTATCAGAACCAATCTATTTAACATGCATTTAGTAAAATAAATCAAACCTTAGGTGAGCCACCAGCTCTTTCTCCTCCATTAGGAAATCCAGAAGAACTTTGCTAGCATAGTTATATGCTTTTTCTATTTGTTCCACATAAGCTCGCTCTTTTAAAGTATAGATGACCTCTTTAGCCACAGGGCAGGTAACATCACGTCCACATTCTCGCACAACATTTAAATATTTCCCTAGAAGCAAAAAGAATGAATGACGCATATTCATACTTACTGTACATCCAACAGGGAAACTTTCAGACCACTACCTTCAAGCGGAAGATACACTGTGAAATGTTTACACTAAGTTCTACTGAAAGCTGGAAAGGATTTAGACACCTTTCAAAAGATGATGCAGAATTTTCAATTAGGCACCTAGTATCATATTTAAGGAGAGATTTAGAAATGGTTTTGTTTCCCAGTGATGGCAAAACATCTCTGCAGATAGCGAGAAACTTTGAAGATCTGGTGTTGCACTTCAGAAGCAGCTTTTGGGGGGTTTTGTACTTACGGCAGAGAACAATGGTAGCCATCAGGTTGCATGCTTCATTTTAAAACACCCAAATTAAAACTCAGCATGTTCAAACCTCGGTTGTCTAGCTCCATCTAGCTAGCTGCTAGAAAACTGTACCCATGAAACAGAGCAGTAAGACAGATAGCTCCCCTTGCTGCTGGACTCCTTCCCACATGTTGTTTTATTTATAGGATTCAGGGTTCTTTTTAAATCTGATTCTTCTATTCCTCTGAAAAGTTCAGCTGGACAACCCCATAGACTGGCAAAGCATGATAACATTTACTTTATCTTTACATAAAGAATGGTAATGCTTGTCTCAAGATTCCTCTTACATCAGAAGCGTATCTTTACCTACCCGTGCTTAGTATTTTGTCAGCCATTTTCTGCAAGAATGAGGGAATCTGTTGCTGAACAACAGTATATCTTTGATCCCAATACTTGTCATTATAGTCTTCCTGAATCTTCTCCTTCTGCAGCTCATGCTCCTCCACCATGAACTCACTGAACAGTTAAAGCAGATGTTTAGAAGCAGGAAGTGGTACAATGAGGATTACATTTTTGACCTGTAAACTAGTAATACGATCTATCAGAAATAAGGTCTCATGAAAATACATTCCAATCAAGAATGAAATTAGCCTTTATTTGTAGTAAGAGGAGAAGCATTATGCAAAGCGTTTCTGCTAATCTGCAATCAATTATGACAGAAACAGAATTTTGTAGGGTTCACAAACCAAGCCTAAACATTATTTGGTTGTCAGTGTAGATGTGAGGATGCTGGCCTTTGTCTGCCTTCCCACCATCAGGAAGGCATTAATTTTAGCTATTTTAACTTGAGTTTTGCCCCTCTTAGGATTCTGAAAATGTGGGAAACAGCAATGCTGCATAAACTATTAAACACAGCGAAATGCTTCAAATGATTCTACAAAAGCCAAGAAACTTCAGTTGAGTGCTGTTAGCTCATATCAGATTAGCATATTAGTGGACTACATTTAACATAGATTCACTGAGTTATCACACTCGTGCCCCGTGAGGAGAAAAAGAGGTACAGGCATGGTAAGGTGGAATTTGAGTGGACTGCATATTTGAACTGTTGTGCTATTGACTTTTGCATATAATTTCCTTGAATTTGGAAAAATAAAGCAAGTGAGAGTGTCTCTGACTGTATAACCACTGAATCAAATAAGAAATGTAGTTAAACATGCTCCAGCAGCTGCCCTTCCTTGCAACGCTGCCTTGCCTACCTACTGCTGCCAGGTCCAGGCCCCTACGCTATGCAGACTCTACAGAGCAGAGGAATGGGTGCACTAAAAAAGTAGAAGCCAGAGACCCAAACAGTATTTCTTAACTTTTGCATTTCATTTTCATTCCTTAACTTTCTTTACCTGTATGGATCATTAATGATGCCTCGATATATCCACTTTTCCAGAATTTCAAAATAAGGCACGCTGGCTGCCTTGGTTAAATACAGGCACAGCTCCTGGGCCTGGCTGTCCCCCGTGTAATTGAAAGTCTTGTCATGGAGTAAGCTCAGGGTTGATCCTCCCATACACTCACCTTTATCTACAGAAGTAGCTAAAATTTAAAAATATAGATATAAGACACAAAGCTGACACAGATTAATTGCACAAGCTATGCTGTTAAACATAATGAAGTTAGCAGTTGATTAGCTGACCACCCTAAGTCACAGATCTCCATGTCAGCTGTAGACCCCTCCTGTGAAGATGCAAGGCCATTCCACCACACAGCCAAAAGCTTACATCTTGAAATGTCCTGAAATGAAAACCCAAATGATCCACAATCTAAAAAAGCAATAATCAAACCCAACCCTCCAGGGAAGGAGAACTGAACTCAGGTAGATGCAAGGTACATGGTGGCTTAGAGTCCAAAAGCCTCCTACACTGAGGGGACCAGGTATAGAGATCCTCTTTCCAGGTGGTAATGGAAGAAACATACACTTCAGTGGCTTGCTTGAGAAACCTCTGATCTCAAAAGCACTTCTGTTCTCAACTGTAACACTGAGGTAGCCATGCATATAGCTTAAACACCAGGATTTAGGTAGGTTGATAGTGAAATTTGTACTTTGCCATTGCAAAAGAGACATAGGGACAGAGGAAACAGTACTGCTGGTGAGTTTCGGGTCGAAGTAAACCTTAATGTATTTGGCTAACTGCTGTGTTCCAAAAAACTGAAAATTTCAGGAGATGTGACTACCAAGAGGGATCATCCAATTCCAGATTGTAAATAGAACAGGTATTTACGTCCAGATGAATTCTCTGGGCTGAACAGAAAGAAATGTACAAGTACTCTCATGCCAAAGAGTTTAACCAAAATTATTGAGTTAACTGTATCCGTGACCAACAACCTCATGCAGTGGCACAGACTGGGACTGACTGGCTGAGGAGCAGCACTGCAGAGAACAATCAGGGTGTCCTGGTGGACAACCAGCTGATCGTGAGTCAGCAGCGTGTCCTTGCAGTGATGAACGCCAACTGCACCCAGGGCTGCACTGCCAGCGATTATTCCCCTCTGCCCAGCATGGGTGAGGCCACACCTGGAACAGTGCGTTCAGTTTGGGGTCCCCAGTATGAATAACAAAATGAAGAGTCCAGCAGAGGTTAATAAGATGGTGGGGGGCTAGTGCCCAACGCACACAAGGAGAGCTTGTGGGCCTCAGGGAGCTGGGCTTGTTAGCTGAGTGAAGATGAAGCTGGGGGTTGTCAAAAGCATTCCTACACTATCCACAGATGGTTCTAGAGGAGATGGTATGAGACTCGTCTTGGAGGAGCACAGTGACAATATCAAAAGGGCAAAAGTTACAAGAAGGGCAATTCCAGTTGGAGATACAGAAAGAAATGTTCACAAAAAAGGTGGTGAAGTCATGGGAAAAGGCCCAGAATGGTGGGGGATCTCCATTGCTGAGGATTTTCCAGACTCGCCTGGACATGGCCCTGAGAAACCTGCTGTACCTGTGAGCAAGGGGTTGGACTAGAAACTGCCAGGGGTTCCTCCTGGTTGAATTGGTTTGTGGTTATATATCCACACACAGCTGGAGAGGCATTTGGAAAGAAGCTGAGTAGAGACAGCAGTGGTGGAAACAACTGATCCGAAAGGCATGGATTGCGATAGTAAAAGGCATGGACTTGCCTCATGACAGCTCTGAAGGGCAGACTCAGCCCTAGAGCCCACTGCTCTCAAAAAAGAACAGTGCTCTGACAACTACAATTCCCCTTGGCTTTCTTCTTTAATATAACATAAAATTAAAATGACACATGCCCAGCCTGTATTGCTACTCTATACAGTTTTCAGAAGCCACTGTCATGCACCTGTCAAAATGTAATGACTGGAATTTTTGAAACTTACCAAGTGAAGCAAGAATCTCCAGGGTCCTCATTGTGGGCTGGATATAAAACCAGAGTTTCTGCAGTGACAGAAGTCCCTGTCTCTGAAGATGTTCCAGCTGGGTAATTAGTATCATGTATTCCTTGATTAGAGTCCGCATAGCAGCAGCCAGAGCATGATTTACCTGTCCATATTCGAAAGAAGACTTCTCCTCTATAAACCTGTAAATGGCAAAATGGAAACTCTTTCAGGCAAGGCACCTTCTATCATTTTCAGGAATTTTATCTTCAGGACACTGTACAAGCACACGAGTAGATCATGTGTTGGGAAGCACACCAGTCTTCGGCTGGAGTTTCAGGTTCCACATTTGCTCTGTGTCCCCCTGACTATTTCCCATCATCGCATTTCCTAGTACAGAAAGCCGCAGGAAGACGTTTCCTCTCAAATTGCAGGGGAACTAGAATTATTTGCAAAACCACTATGTAAAAAATGAGGGTTAAGATTTTCAAGGCAATTGTCTTTGCATAAGCAACAGATTAGAGGACAGGAAAAGATCTCAAAAGGAAGCAATGGGCACCGAGACATGTGGAGAAAGCACTGTTGCTAGTTTCTGACACCACATGCCACAGCAGGGATTCATCTGACCAGATTTAGATGGCTCCATACAAGTTAATGGAGAGAGACAGATGCTTCTGAACACAAGTTATATCATCTGGAAGGAGACATGTAAAAGAGATTGGATGAATCATATCCTAAAAATGCTTCTTTCTCTTTGCTGATCTTTTAGGGACTTTGAATCAAATGCAGACATCTACATAACAAACATCTGCTGTTAGTGAGGTGTACCTTATACTAAGACCTTTTAACAATTACTTAACGTAGCTATGAGGAACTAGGCAGCAGTAGGTTCTCCTGCTCAGAAGCACACAAAGGTTGTCCTGGATGCCCAGAGGACAGCAAAAAGCAGGAAACATGGAGAAATTCATAGCAGAGTGGGAAGAGATAAGCCAGAACAAGCAGGCATATCCTATCTGCACTTTGCCTGAATTTACCAAGACTAAGTTTGGACAAAGGTAAGGTGAGGTGAATGAAAAAGTGAACTGGCAGCACACAGGAGAAACCAAGCAAAAAGAAGTGTAGCTAAAACCAATTCAAAGAAATTGTCATTCTTATTTTATATCCCCATAGGTTTAAATTAAGCTTGGAAGTTAACATCTGCACAATGACAATTCTTTTCTACAACCTGATGCTCAAAAGAGAACATCCTCCTCTGACAAAAGTCAGCTTGGTACCTGGTGACAGCAGAGTAACTTGCTGCTACAGGAAGAATCCTGGTCACCAGCTCTTTGATGGACAAGTCCAAGTTTGGATCGACTGAAAATGCTCGGTTCTGCCTGCCTACGAGAGCCTGTGCTGTGATGTATCTTCCATCCACACCGATCAGAACGTACAGCAAGTCCTCCACAATCATGGATTCTTGGGAGGCTAATGGCAAGGTACCTATTTTCAAAGAGAAGACAAAAAAAGAACACAACTGGAACATGCCATAGTACTACCTGATCATACATTCATTTCATTTCAATCTAGTACCTGAAGCTTGAAAGGAAGACATACTACCATTCAAAGAGAACAAAGAGAACAAAGAAAGATCACACAAAGCTGAATCAAGATATAGAAATAAAACTGAGTTAGGGTCAACTCCAAAATCATCTACCTTGCTTTCCGGGAAAACAGAATCCTTTGCTCATTTATACCCAAAGCAAACCAAGTACACAGGGCTATACTTCCGACATCTGTGGCCAAGAGAACATCACCCACAGCTTGTGCTGCTGATCCTTCCACCCCAAGGGGCTCAGTTATACTGGACCTGAGGAGCTCCAGTCTTGTCAACAACTGTCCCTACCTCCCCTCCGCTGAAATATTCAAATATCAAGAAAACAGTTCAAATACAGACACAAAGAAATGTTAGCCCAGCAAAAGCTGCAGGTCAACTGCAAACTGTAGGGTCTCTGAATGGTGTGGTCAACTACAAACCAGCTGCAAGAAGCATGAAGGACTCAACCCGAAATATAACCACGTGCATCAGAAGATCAGGGAACAGAGTGGTTACAACACTAACTACAGCAAAGCTTATCTCATGAAACAAGGCAACAATCCCTCTCCATTTGTAGGACTGTATGTGAGAGAACAAATGGTTCTGAGCTTGCTGGGAACATTCCCTCACAGCACATCCCAAAAGGCCCTGGCAGAAATGTACTGGTGGACAAGCTATTTAAGGGCACCTCCAGGAATGAGCCTGCTCTTTTCACGTCCCCCTTAGACGCAGCCCAAATCCACATCAGGAAGAAGCTACACGTTTCCTGTAGGAGCCTCCACAGTTCTGGGGAACGGAAACATGAGTCTCTAACTCAGCTGTTCTCTTCCAAAAAAAGCTCTTAAATCTAATTTATGAAAAAGAAACTATACACAGCTCAGCCTAAAGCTAGAATACAACGGGGAGAGATTAGTCCCCTGCTGCTCTGGCGAGGAGAGAGACAGCAAATCAGGGAGGTTATAGTCTTACTGGAGAGGATATTGAGCTGGGTAGATCGATGAATATTCCCTTGTCAGGTACAACTACAGATTTTTCAGCTGAGAATACCAATGTGATACTCCTAGAGTAGGATTTTATGGAGGCTGTGACTCAAGACAGAAAAAGGACTGGGAAACTCAAAACAGATTAGATCCCATGGATCAACAGTGGGGCTGGAATTCAGTGCAGGAGAAACACTGTGAACAAAATAAGTTTGGGGTTGTTTTTTTTTGAATCCTGCTCTTCATCTGCAGAGTGCAAACAGCCAAGTTTTGCTTTCATCCTGACTGTGATGAAGTCTGAACAGCACTTCTGAACAAGTACAAAACATAAAAAGTTAATGCAATTTTCCCTGCGTGTCACATACCTATAGGTACTGTTGTGTCAGTGCTTAAACTGGTGCCAATTAAGAAATCACCAATAAGTGCAGGTCTCTCATACACCCAGGATGGAAATATTGGAATGGGCTGACCAGAATTCTTCTTGTTCTGCTTATCTCGGAGGATTTTTCGTGTAAGCTCAAGAGGCTGTTGGAAAAAAAGAGAGAGAAAGAAGGAAAAAAGAGATCTTCAGAAGTCCAAGAAATTTTGAATTTTAAGCAGAAATTGACTGTAAACTGATAACTTGAGAACAGAAAGTAGAATAGCTGATGTTTCAGTAGCACAGCGTAGGATTTGGTCTCCCAATACCATCTACTCTATTGGTCTCAGTGCTGCAGAGGTGATTTTTTATATAGTTGGCCTTCTTTTTATTGGAGGGTACATGAAATAACGCCTTTCTGCACCCCTCCCCACCAGCCTGGATGCTAAGGCACACATAGGGGAACAGAATGGGGACATGCACAACAACCAGGCAGCTTACTAGTTTGCAAAGCGCACCATGTGAAAGGCAGCAAACTCCTTCCAGAAGCAGTAAACAGCAACATATTATTCAAGGGGCACTTGCAGATAGGCTAACGAACACCTCTGAACTCAGTTTCTGCACAGTGCCCACTGAATAGCTGCGTGCCAAATGCAATCCAGACAATCCACCCACAGACAGCTGGAAAGTGACGGAGTTTTTTACTCTGAATAGGAGTCAACAAAGGAAGTGAACTCTTAAAGACTGAAAGACTTTCCATCCCTGGCTCCGGGTCTCTGACACTGAAATAAATGGAGTACAAGATTAATTATCAGCTGGAGAGCCCTGAGAGATGTACAACCTCCATGAACACTTAGAGCCCCAAGCGCACAAACACAGGGCACATGCTTATGAATGCCATTTCTTAAGCTCCACAGATGTGTATGTGAAATGGGATATGAACAGGGTCATTTTACTTTCCTCTCATAGGAGGTCTCAGAGGAGAGAGGAACTTGGGAAGGAAGCAAATGTACGTGTGAGCTTTGCATCTTAAAGAATGGTGGTCTTACATGTAAGGGGTAGTTGATGCACACTACGGCTGGCCCCGGCCATTTTTCATATTCTCAGAGCTGCCCAGTGCTGGGTGTTGAAATCCTTCAAAAAAGCATCAGCTGTGGGACCACTCCTCCAAGCAGCACCAGTTCTGGGCATGTTTGCTGCAGCCTCGCTGCTGGCATAACACTGGTACAATGTCCTCAGGTCAGACAGGCACCCCAAAGCAACACTACATTCCTACTTATACTGTATATGGGTGATCTGCTAGAAGGACCTCAATTTCCTCTGCTCCCCTAACAGAAACAGAACTCTCATAGGAGGGTATGAAGAAGGATGAAGCATCAAGTAAGCTGCCAGCAATTCAAAGGATGACTAGACTTCACACAAAATTGCAGATCTCAGTGAGGACTGAAGTCCTTCACATGGGTAAACAACCTGAACTCCTTCATAAATCTTAAACCCATACAGTGAGAAAATACTCCTCTCTTGAAGTAGTATATAGTAGTTTACTTGTCCGTCACGATCTGGACACACAGACATTGGCTAAAAGATCAAAACATCATGTGCACTTTCTGTATCATCTTGAGCTCCAGGCCATTAAAGGAAGACCTGGAATGGAAGGTCTCCCAGTAGTACTGGCCCTATGCAATATGGCTGTAGGAACAAGTTTCTGCTTAGGAGAAGGGCAGCCATCATTACATCTTTCCAAACGGCAGGGAGGAACGAGTTGGAAGAAAAGCTCTACAAACCATGGACCTTACCATCACAATATCTCCATGAACCATGCATACTTATGAGAGAGCAGACTAAGAAAGTATCTAAGTCCAAAAGCTTCTGAGGCATTGCGCTAAGTATGGGAGACTATACAACCTAACAGAGCCAGGTTAAGGTCTCAACAGCACATGTAGATGGAAGAAAGTACTTTAAAATAGAGCTAGTTCAGTGAGATGGACTACGTGAAAAGTTACACCTTGGAAATTCAGAGACATGAAGTAATTCCTGTCTCCAACTCCCAAAATGAAATCAGATCATAGACTCATAGAATGGTTTGGGTTGGAAGGGACCTTTAAAGATCATCCAGTCCAACTCCCCTGCCATGGGCAGGGACATCTTTTACTAGATCAGGTTGCTCGAAGCCCCGTCCAACCTGACCTTGAACACTGCCAGGGATGGAGCATCCCATCTAAACCCACCCTCTTTCTGTTTAAAACCGTTGCCTCTTGTCCTGTCACTACAGACCCTGCTAAAAAGTTTAACTCCATCTTTCTTATAAGCCCCCTTTCTATATTGAAAGGCCGCAGTAAGGTCTCCTCAGAGCCTTCTCTTCTCCAGGCTGAACAAACCTAACTCTCTCAGCCTCTCTCTACAGGAGAGGCGTTCCAGCCCTCGGATCATTTTCATGGCCTCCTCTGGACCCCCTCCAACAGGTCCATGTCTTTCTTGCACTGGGGACCCCAGAGCTGGATGCAGTACTCCAGGTGGGGTCTCATGAGGACGGAGTAAAGGGAGAGAATCACCTCCCTTGACCTGTTGGCCACGCTTCTTGTGATGCAGCCCAGGATACAGTTGGCTTTCTGGTCTGCAAGCGCACATTGCCAGGTCATGTCCAATTTTTTTTTCACCAGTACCCCCAAGTCCTTCTTCACAGGGTTGTTCTCCATCCATTCATCCCCCAGTCTGTACTGAGAGTGGGGACTGCCCCAACCCAGGTGCAGGACCTTGCACTTGGCCTTGCTGAACATCATGAGGTTCACATGGGCCCACTCCTCCAGCCTGCCCAGGTCCCTCTGGATGGCATCCCTTCCCTCCAGTGTATCAACTGCACCACTCAGCTTGGTGTCATCTGCAAACTTGCTGAGGGTGCACTCGATCCTACTAGGTATGTCATTGATGAAGATATTAAATAGTATTGGTCCCAATATGGACCCTTGAGGGACACCACTCGTTACTGGTTTCCGTTTGGACATTGAGCCATTGACTGTAACTCTTTGGATGCAGCCATCCAGCTAATTCCTTACCCATCTAGCAGTCTCCTTTCCTTCTTGGCCCTGGAAAATACCTATTGTAAAATTGCCTACTTCCATACTATACAAGAACAAGCCAAATAGCTCCCAGTGCCTGAGGGAAGTCCCTGAAATGAGATGAGCTCATGGCACTGTGAGGGAGCATGCAGGCACCTCTGTCCCTGTGAGCTCACAGCCTATGGGTTGGGGCATGCCTGGAGTACGGGTGTGGGCTGTGGCATCCATCCCTAACAAAAAGGCAGGGACTGAGGCCTATTCCTTATAGTGATTGTGAAAAGGAGCAGCCAGAACCTCTGAAACAAACGCAGAACCTTCTTCATCGAGGGACTGGTTCTTCTTCACAAGTGATTCTCTGGGATGACAAGAGGCAGGGAGTTTCTGTTGGAGTTCAATCAGTTCTAGTGTGAACCTGTTAACTGGCAGAATTCAAAAAAGTTGACAGTTTTGGCTATAAAGGACAGAGCAGCCTGAAAGGGAACATGTAAGTTTTACTATCTTGATGATTCTTGGGCCAAAACTGATCCAAGCAGCAACTCCAATCACTGTAAGATCACTGGATGATCTCTCTAACAGTGCCAAGTAATCACAGGGCAGATGGCACAGCACTTCTGGCACCGGTGACAAAGCATGTGTCTCAGGGGCATGAATTACCTTCTCTCTGCAACTTAAAATTTAGATCGTTGTCATTATAGGCTTCAATGACAGCCTGGATAAAACTCCCAGGACTGAAAATGTGGCCCTCAGGTGTCAGCCTGGCACTTAAAAGCCCATGGGATAGGGTGGCAGTTTGCCACTGTCACGCTGATGAACCTGCATCTGGTATCTTAAGCAATGACAGTGCCACATCCATTGAGGGAGAGAAAGAGCTCATCTTCGTGCTCAATGAATGCCAACTGTGCCAAAGGGCTCCCTGCACTACAGCCCTGGTGCCAGGGAAGTTGGGCAGCAGTGGGCGTACACTGGACCTACAACACACGACCAAGGAGGAGTGGTGGGTACAGCTGGGCTTTGCTGGGTCTGGCCAACAGAACGCCTAAGAGCAGCCTGCAACTACAGGAAGGACAAGTACCAAGATGATGGGTAAAGCCAAGCTCCTCTCAGCGGTGGCAGGAGGTTCAGGCAGCCACAGACGCAAGCTGCCTCTTGGGATATTGAGATCAGGTAGGAAGAGACACTTCTTCCTGAAGAGGGGGAGCAGCTGTAGTGGGTCAGCAGGGAGGTGGGGTATCTCCCTCCTGGGGGCTGCAGGACTCAGATGGGCAAAACGACAGCTGCCCTGATCTAGTGTGGGTGACAGTCCTTCTGTGAGAGGGAAGCTGGACTGGACAACCCCAGCGGTTCCTCCCACCGGTGCCACAACAAATCTGTGGAAACACTGGCAGCTATCCTCCATGCCCGGTGAAGGAAGATGGTGACACAAGGATCACAAATAGAGTTGCTCAAGTGAGTCCCTCACGTCCATTGATAGTGTGAAGGATCACTCCAGGGCTTGTGCCAGTGCACAACCTGGCTTCTAGAAGAGAGATGGAGAAGTAAATCAATTGCGATTATTATGACTACTTGACAGTCCTCTTGGGAAGTGGCTCTAGCGGAAACTCTGGGTCAACAGATTTCAGCTAGGTGTGTGGATACAGCCCTACTAACTCAATGGCCCCGAGCACCTGCCCGTTAGAGCCTTTTAGCAGAGTTTCAGCTCTTTAAGTCTGAACAAGGTATAAATGGAGCAGCAGGGAGGCACAAATCTTTTTAATTGGCTTGCATTGCCATTTCAATTCCTTTGGTTGTGAACTGCACATCCCAGAGAACACCACTTACTCTTCTTTCCTCTTTTAGCAAGTCTGCACATAAATCCTATTAAAAAGATCAGTTACCTTACTGGAAATACATCTTACCTTCATGATCTAAATCAACCACTTGACTCAGATCATCTGTGAAAGATTTGGATGAGTCAGGCATGTATTTCAGTCTGTGCAGACACATATTTCACAGTGTATGTGGAACAAGGCTGGTTTCATCACTGCCTGACAGGGGGAGGGGGTTGGACTTTCTCTGTTTAGGATTTGAACTCTCCATCATCACATGCAGCTCTTCAAGCTGAGAGACCAATCGGGTGTCCCAAAACATTGAACATGGAGGGTCTACTCCTCTAGCCACTGATGGCCTGAAGTGATCTGACCACCACAGCAAACTCCCCACTTGGTAGCAGATGCATCATCTACTGTCATCATCTTCATCAGGGACAGGAGGGTGTTCCCTGGAAGGAGTTAGCTCTGCTCAGCCACTGCCACAGAAAGATCTTCACAGACTGAAAAGCAACTGCATATCTGCTGAGGAGCTAGCACAGGCAATAAACCATATACAGCCACGGCTAGAGAGCTCAACAGCAAAGGTTAGTAGGATGCATCATGAATATGAATGCTGCCACATGGCCAAGACAGGGCCAGCAGTGCCGCAGAGTGAGCAGCTGAGTGAAGCACACACCACACCAATACAGACAGACCCCGTGCACTAACAAGACATCAATATGCCTCCACTGAGCGAGGGTGCAGGACTGCCACAACAGAGACTGCAGACAGAGAAGACCCCAGTGTGTGATTTCTGAGCATTCACAAACAGGCCAGCATCCTCAGAAACAGTCACATGCAGAGTCTGGAGGCTTGTCCCCTGTTAGATTTTATTGACCAGTCATCAGAAGGCAGAACAGAAACAAACCTCTGGGACAAAGGTAAGCTGCAAAATTTTAAATGGAAGCATTTGCACATATTGCCTAGTTGCTCACTCACTACAGACCTTATCACTCTTTCACCTCTGTCCAAATAACTGTCCATACACAGCTGCTCCTCTGCCTTCCGCAGCCAGAATGCCCTTATCTTGACCCACAAGCTTTTCGTCGTATTTTTCTCCCCCCCATCCTGTTGAGCAGGAGAAGTGATAGAGTGGCTACCCAAGGTCAACCCATCACAGTATGGTTATTTATACAAATGATTATAGGAAATAGAAGTTGCGATTTTAAGTAATAATTGCCCTTTTGCACTTCCTACCTCCTGGCCTACTGATAATGAAATGCTTGCTTAACTGTTTTCTAAGCCTGTGTCTTGCAATGATACATTTTACTTCTACAGTAGGTTTTTTTCTTCCTTTTTGTCTTTGGGATCACTTTGCAGCATTTATTGCAGGAGCTCAAATAGCTAAGTAGAGGGAATGGCTGTGTCCACTTGGGGAATGATTATGTGAGGCATTGTACCCACATTATCTGAGAGAGCAGAACTCCTAGGAAGGGAGATGGGGACACGCCACAATGGCTGCTGAGCTCCTGAGCAAGCACTGCCACAGGCAGAAAAGAAAACGTCAGCACAGCTTAAAGCAGTCATTTGAAATGGGAAAATGAAATTACATTAACCCCCGCCAATTAGAACTGTTGTGGCCTAAACTTGACTTACCTTAACTGACTTAAATAGAAAAAGGCCATTTTTATTAAGGACAGCACAAAGATTTAATATAATCTGACAAATAAATGTTGAGAGATAATTTAGATTGTCTGCACAGATAGGAACATTTATAATTCCACCAGATGATAAAAGTTAAGAGCACAGCTATACACATGAGCAGAAGGAAAAGATTTTGTACCCAAAGCTTGGGAAAAGACAGTACCTGCTGTACACTGGAGTTGGCTGTGACACTGCCCAGCTGCTTGCGTAGCTCCTCGAGCTCCTGTAGAGATATCTTGGAAGTAGACGAGGGAATGGAAAAATTTGTGCTGCCACTGGTTGCTGCATTTGCTGCAAGTTCTGCCCTTTCTTTAGCATTTTGTTGCAAATACTGGAGTGTCTGTACATACACAAAAAAGAAAAAATGTTGTGAACGCTGGTCAGCACACACTAAAGCAGAAAACGTATGACCGTAAGACGGTTGTGCTGAATCAGACCACAGGTCTTTCTGTCCCAGTTTCCTGTGTCTTAGTGGTTTATATCAAGAGGAGTGTAATTCTCAGTAGTGCTTTAATAATTAAGTAAATGCTAGAACTGATTATCTGTTGATTTCAACGCATTTCGCTGAACACTGTCATCAGAAAGCATCCTGTACTTAAAATCATTGCATTGTTGCTACTGCTGAATACTTACAACATATCCAGTTCTAAAGGAGAAACAAACCTCTTTGTCTTCTGTGAGTTTTGACAGTAGATAAACTAAAGAATCTAGATGTCTTGTATTTTTAGATTTCAGCTCATCGTACTTCTTTAAAAAATCTTCAGGAGTTCGAGAAAACTCTGCTATTTTTACCTGTAAAACACCACATTAATATTAAATGTTTAATGTATATTATTATCACAGCATTCAAAAGAGGAGCATCGTGCAAAGATGGAGACAAGGTGCCGGCTGCGGCTGCCACTGAAGTACTTCAGGGAATGGGTTTTGGACTGAATGCTGCAGCATTGGTCTCCTACTAACAATTATGCTGGAAGAGAGTGAGGGTCCTGGCACTTCAGGTGATGGAGAAGGGACTGCAGGAGAGAAAAGATGAAGGTAAGCACAAGATCTGTAGCAGGGCTCGCTTTGCACATGCTCAGTCTGAAGCAATATAATTTTGTATCAGCAGGTTTATTAACGGATTCTGGAACTGATGAAGCCACATCTGGACACTGGGTCCACTTTGGGGGCTCCACTAGCAAGAGAAACATCAACAAACTGGACTGAGCCCAGTGCAGAGCGATGGAGACGGTGAGGCATACTGCCCATTGCCCAAAGGGGTAACAGACCCTGCTTCGAGGGGCACAGCAAAAGCACCACAGGCACTGCCACAAATTGCGACATGGAAAATCCCAACTGGACCTAGGGAAACAGTCCTTTCTGGAGAGAGAGGTGACCCTGGGACACGGCCAGAGCGATGGAGGAATCTCCTGGAGATCTTCAAAGGCAGCTAAGCAGTCTGCTGTAGCTGTGATGCTGGCCCTGCTGCAAGCAAGGGGTTGGACTGCAGATCTCCAGCTGTGCCTCCTACTTAAATCTTTCTACAAGTCAATGAACTGTAGCTGTCAGTATAAATGATGCTTAAGACTGGAATTAGAGAAAACATGCAGTTCAAGCTACAAAGATCTGAACTTTCAGACAGAGTTGGCAATTTTCTAGCACTTATAGCTTGACTGATGGATTGCTTTTAAAAACGACAATGAAAACCAGTATTATGGCCACAGAAGTATACCCGGTCATGAGAGTGTCAGGCTTTAATCCCTAATACCTGGGAGATATTCAGAAAAAAAGTCAACTATTGTTCATATAATCGCATTTCACACAGTTACTCTTTTTCATTTTACTCCTTCAGAGGACAACCCCTCTAATTCAAATTTGAAACAACCATCACAGGCACAAAATCAGCTCCTTTTTTGAACTCCCACCCCGTTCTAACAATCCTTCTCATGTTCTTTCACCAATCTCTCCAAGATGCAAGGATTTTACCTTTTTCCTGATATAATCTTTCTACTTTGTACCCTAAACTGAGATTCCAGAGCAGATTACCCCATTTTTTTTACCAATGCCAACACGATTTCACCGTTATTCTCAGAAAAACTTGGTACAGCCACTACCCCTCCCAACACGTGTCCAGCTCCGCACCCACAGAAGTCAAGTTATCTCACAGAATAGTAGAGTATGGAAAAGGTAGTTCACATCACTGGCCAAGAGAAATCACACTGAGGAATGTTTATCTTGAATTTCTCCTTAGGGAGGACTGTGCTCTCAGAGCCGATGGAATCTCTATCAACGATTGCAAAGGAAGCATGCCGCCTCAGGGGTCCTGCCGGCCGCCCCCCCCCCCCATAAGGTCTGAAACACATCTCAGCTGTGATTACAGTATGTCGAGACTTACCTTCGCGCTGTGCGCAGAGACAGTCGTGGTGACGTAAGGCGTTCGATTCTTCTGCAGAAGATCGATGTAGACTTCGGCTCCTTCCCCGCCGTGAACGCGCAGCAGGCTGAGCAACTCATTGACATCGTGGTGAATGCGGAACTCGCTCATACTCCCACCTGAGGCTACAAGCTCCGTGGGACGCAGAAACAAAGGCGGTAAGTTATTATTTTACTGCTGCAAATGAAAATATACCCACACAAACAACATTTCCTGACTACATTATAAGTCTGCAGGGTATGCTAAAATACTTGACTGGAACAAAGAAATACATGTGAGGGGAGGAAGCAAGCAAAACAGAGATACTCGTTATTGTGCCTGATTTAACTATACTGGTACAAACCCTACCTTAAATGTAGGTGAGCCAGCAGAGGATTTTTCAATCTCAAAACCACACCGGTGGTGGAAAAGTTAGAGTCGTTGCAAGAAGCGCTGGTTCGTGTACTGCAGACACAGCTGAAATTGCTGGCTTCAGCAGCCCACCCACGCTGCTGCTTCTGAAGTTATTCAAAAGCAGTTTTTTCCAAGTTTAGGGAAACTTCTACTGCCCATTTTATTAACAGACAAGAACCAAATTCTGTGAAGTTACTTAGATGATGGCGTCAGAATTAAGAGTCTGGTTGAGGCATCACGCAAGTACAAAGTTTAATGTGACACCCTGTAGAGACGCAGAATATCAAGCATATAGACACACTTTTGGTTTGCCAAAATCATTGAATCGTTTAGGCTGGAACGGATCTCTGCAAGCCTCGGGCCAACTCTCCACCCAAAACTGAGTCAAACTAGAGCAGGCTGTGCAGGGCCTTGTCCAGTCCAAGCTCAAATATCTCCAAAGATCCAGATTCCCCCACCGCTCGGGGCCCTGACCCTCATGCGGAAACACCTTTTCCTAATATCCAACTGTGATTTCCTCTGCTCGGAGGGGCACAGCGAGAGCCCCAGAGGCACCGGCACAAGCTGCAGCACGGGAAACCCCGGCCGGCCCCAAGGAAACAGCCCGTCCCCGTGCGAGCGGGGTGTCCCTGGGAAGGGGCCGCGAGCGGTGGAGGATCCCCAACCCCGGGGACGCCCCGACTTGCCCGCACACGGCCCCTAGCGACCGGCGGCAGCTAAGGCGTTGGCCCTGCTGGGAGCGGGGTGGGGCCGGAGACCCCCCGCCCGGGT